TATTCCTTTTATATTAACAATGTTCTGTCTCATTCTCGTGATTCTTATAATTTAGTTTTATGTTTTCGTTCCGTTTCGGATCCCGTTAATGTACGAAATCCTCATGATTTCTCTTTGTGTTTTAATCTTTACTCAATAATACTTCTCTAGGTATTTTTCTAGGAGCCATTAGTGTTCTCTCATTTCGAGTTTTGTCATTACCTGAGACAAAAACACCATTGTTACATGGTCAAAGCTTACTGCTTTTGTATTTATGTTTTTAATAATTGCGCCAACTTGTAATAATGGTTATTTGCCTAACCTTCTGAGCTATCTTTCCCTTATTTCTGCTCAGTATCTTTGACGATTCTGTATAATATAAATCATCGTCCTGAATTTCTGTTTCGTGAGAAATTGGGTTTTGTTGACAAACTTGTTCTTGTTTATGATTTTGTTGACAAACTTGTTCTTGTTTATGATTCAGGTGGTCAAGTTTGAAAAAAATAAAAACTTTGGATTGGTCTTTCAAGATCATGTTTTCTCACCAGAAATGGAAGTGTTCATGGTCTCAGATAGCCACTGTTGCTTCTGTGATTGTTTTGGTTTCACTAGTTCATCTATTTCTCGGTCCTGTGGTGCCATCTTTTGATACTATTAGTGTAAGACAAGCTCAGAATCTTTGTGGACCAAGTAATGAATCAATCACACAAGTGACTAAGGAGGAACCAGTTGTTGTTGCCTTTGATCGCCGGTTTCCTGCTGACTTACACGGTGCAGTGGTTTATCGAAATGCCTCGTGGAAAGCCGAGATCGGACAATGGCTTTCTAGTTGTGATGCAGTTGCTAAAGAAGTTGACATCATTGAAGTAAGTATTAGTTTGGGATCTTTTGAAATAATGTTTGTTTTTTCGATTTGGTTATAAAGGTTGTGTTTTTTTTTTGTTTGGCAGCCAATTGGTGGGAGGAAGTGTATCAATGATTGTAGTGGTCAAGGTGTTTGTAACCATGAATTTGGAATTTGCCGTTGCTTCCATGGATTTAATGGTTAGTATTTATGCTATTTGAAGAATCTTCATAAACCAAAGTTGATTGCTTTGTAAATGATGAAGCCAAACACATTCCTGCAAAAAGGAATGACTTTTGATCCTCTTTATTTGCTTTCACAACCATTGCAATTGGTGTTTAAAATGAAGTTTCTTTGACCGGTTCTGTGTAGGCGAAGATTGTTCGCAAAAGCTGCGGTTAGATTGCAATTACGAGAAAACACCTGAGATGCCATATGGGAAATGGGTTGTTTCGATTTGCTCTAGACATTGTGATACCACAACAGCAAAGTGCTATTGTGGAGAAGGCACAAAATATCCAAATCGTCCAGCGCCAGAGTCATGTGGTTTTCAAATCAAGTAAGTTTCTTTTCTTCTTGAGTCTTATTGCTTCTCAAATCAAGCTTAACAACTCTCTTAACATACAAACGTATTTTCAGTTCGCCGGCGAATCCGGATGAACCTAAAATGACAGATTGGTCTAAAGCAGACTTAGATATTATAACAACAAACAGTAGTAAACAAGGTTGGTGCAATGTGGATCCAGAAGATGCATATGCTTCAAAGGTGAAAATCAAAGAGGAATGTGACTGTAAATATGATTGTCTTTGGGGACGGTTCTGCGAAGTGCCTGTACAATGCACTTGTGTTAATCAGTGCTCTAGACATGGCAAATGCAGAGGAGGTTTCTGCCAGGTAAATACCAACTGTGTCCACTGTCATTAGCATATTCTTAATCTTAATCCTCTTAAGTCTCTCTGTGTTTTTTATGCTTTTTCCCGGATTTTTTCAGTGCGATAAAGGCTGGTTTGGAACAGATTGTAGTATTCCATCCACTCTCTCGACGGTTGGAGAGTGGCCTCAATGGCTTCGACCAGCACGTCTCGAAGTTCCAAGTGATAAAAGTGTCCCTGGAAATCTCATTAATCTAAGTGCAGTGGTGAAGAAAAAAAGGCCTCTTATATACATCTATGATCTACCCCCAGACTTCAACAGTTTACTTCTTGAGGTCACAATCCAAACTTTGATTTCTCTTCTAAACAAAGTTAAAAGCCTTTCTATAATAAAGTTATTAATCTCTTTGGTTGGAATTTGACTTTGCAGGGTCGGCATTTTAAGCTTGAATGTGTTAATAGGATTTATGATGACAGGAATGCAACAATATGGACAGATTATCTATATGGTTCCCAGGTTTGCCCCTGAACTCTAGTCGAATATCAGATAAAATTCAACGTTTTTTCTTCCGAGTTTGAATTGAAAGATAACTAACTCTGCCTCTTCTTTACCTCTTCTAATTTTGAAGATGGCATTCTACGAGAACGTTTTGGCCACTGCTCATCGTACACTGAATGGGGACGAGGCAGATTTCTTCTTTGTTCCTGTTCTTGATTCTTGCATTATAAATCGTGCTGATGATGCACCTCACATTAGCATGCAGGTTGGGTCGAGAAACTCGCCTTTTTTTAATTCTTTGCTCGCAGAAACTCTAGAGCTTATATATTCTCTATGTTTTTATTACTTTCAGAATCATACTGGATTAAGAAGCTCACTTACCTTAGAGTTCTACAAAAAGGCTTATGAACACATTGTTGAGAAATATCCATACTGGAACCGCTCATCTGGAAGAGACCATATTTGGGTATGATCATGCTTATACATATATAGGATTAGATCTCACCACTAGTGTGGCTAATTTTGTTTACGCCTGAAAAAGGCAGTTTTTCTCATGGGATGAAGGTGCTTGCTATGCTCCTAAAGAGATATGGAATAGTATGATGTTAGTACATTGGGGTAACACGAATACGAAGCATAACCATTCAACAACAGCTTATTGGGGTGATAACTGGGATGAGATATCTGAAGAGAGGAGAGGTGATCATCCTTGCTTTGACCCTCGCAAAGATCTCGTGATTCCAGCTTGGAAAGTTCCTGATCCGTTCTCAATGCGTGCTAATTACTGGGCGAGGTATGTTATCTATCATCTCTAGTCTCTGATGGTTCTTGGACATTGTTCCAGTCTGAAAGTTGTTGTCTTCTTTAATTGTCATTAGGCCACGGGAGAAGCGGAAAACATTTTTTTACTTCAATGGGAATCTTGGACCAGCTTATGAAAAGGGAAGACCAGAAGATACGTAAGTCTCTGCTTAAAGAATCATGTTGAAATCAATCTCGAAAAGTATGTAATGGTTCAGCAACATGTAATGCAGGTATAGCATGGGAATCAGGCAGAAGCTAGCAGAAGAGTTTGGTTCAAGTCCTAACAAAGAAGGGAAGCTCGGGAAGCAACACGCAGAAGATGTGATTGTCACTCCATCACGTTCTGACAATTACCACAAGGACATAGCAAAGTCAATCTTCTGTGGTGTGTTCCCTGGAGATGGTTGGAGTGGTCGCATGGAAGATAGTATCTTACAAGGATGTGTCCCAGTCATTATTCAGGTATATATACATACCTTGAACTTACCGCATTGTTTACATTCCGAAAACTTAAGCTATCTGATCCGAAAATGACGGGTTTTTTCCCATTGAATGTCTCTTTGTTAGGATGGAATTTACTTACCTTATGAGAACCTGCTCAATTACGAAAGCTTTGCAGTTCGTGTTAGCGAAGATGACATTCCAAATCTCATAAACACTCTCCGAGTAAATTCAACTTCATCACTCTCTCTCTCAATCTTTGCAACAAAATGCTCCTAATCTTAAAGCTCACTTCATTTGTCTTGTTTTAAAATCTTCTGCAGGGATTCAATGAGACAGAGATACAATTCAGGCTAGCTAACGTAAAGAAGCTTTGGCAAAGATTCTTGTTCCGAGACTCGATTTTGCTCGAAGCAGAGAGACAGAAAGCTAGTTTTGGACATGAAGAAGACTGGGCTGTTCAATTCTCTAAACTGAAACACGACGATATCTTTGCTACTTTCATACAGACTCTGCATTTCAAGCTACACAATGATCCATGGAGACGAGAGCAAGTCGTGAACCGGACAAAAGATTACGGTTTGCCTCAAGAATGTCTCCTAAAAACAAGCTGATCAAAATCTAAAAAAAAAAAAAAAGTAATACATCAGAAGCTGGAGAAGCATATACATATATATACTTGGCAGAATCATTGCCAAAATCGATTCTTTTGAAAAGGAATAATCTTTCTTGGGTTTTGATTTAGGTACAACATTAATCATATTCATGTAAACAAAACTCTGTTCTTTATATTCAGTTTAGTTCTTCTTGCTTTGTGCTTAGACCGGTTTTAGTCTCGGTTTACCCAAATTAAATTTGAATCCATATTTCGGTTCGGCTGATGTGACTCGAACTACTTAACAAATTATGAATTGTTCAACGGGATTCCGGTTTAACCCGGTTCGGTTCGATACATAGTTGATTTCCGTGTTGGTATATGATTAAATTCTTATCTCCGCGCCGAGAACTAGATCTTCCGCCATTGATACTTCTTCTCTGAGCTCACTCCGGTGAAGTTGATATGATCGGAATCGAGACTTCGACGACGAACCGGTTTAATCAAAATTGAACTGCAATAACCGAACGGATCCGAAATAACCGAATTTAATAAGACCCCACATAACCTACTTGGATTCTAGCCAAACATTGTTAGTACA